CCCAGGAAAGCAGCTCTGACCACCCCCTGCCGTGTGGGAGCCTGAGCCAGACGCTGGGTGGGGGTGGGGGTGGGGGCGGGTTAGTGGCGGGTGATAAACAACTCGGGGAGCTGCATGGTGTGTGCAGGGGTGGCCTGGCCACTCTCCTCTCTCCTCTCGACTGTGCTCAGCCCCGGGGACCACAGCCCCTCGCACGTACCCAGGGTGATGCCATTGGGCCACTGGATGTCCTCTGTCACCAGTGAGTGAATGTCCACGCCATTCAGGCCCCCCTTCTTGATCTTGGCAGGGGTCCCCCAATCTGTCCAGTACATGAAGCTGGAGAGAGAACAGTGAGAACAGACACTCAGACGTCAGCCAGGGTGGCTCCCAGCCAACATTGAAGAGCCCTAGCCGGTTTGGCTCAGTGGAGAGAGCGTCGGCCTGCAGACCCAAGGGTCCCAGGTTCAATTCTGGTCAAGAGCACATACTGTGGTTGCAGGCTCCTCCCCAGCCAGGGCCCTGGTCAGGGCACGTGCAGGAGGCAACCAATTGATATATTTCTCTCACATCAATATTTCTCTTTCTTTCCCTCTCTCTTCCACTCTCTCTAAAAACCAATGAAAAAACATCCTGAGGCAGCCAGGCCAGGGTCCCACGACGGCCCTGGGGAGACCTCAGCTTGGCTGCCCTACCCCAAGGCCTGCCACCTGGCAAGACCGGGCAGGATTTTAGAACCTTCAAGAAAAAGGGAGGTTCTGATTCTAGTGTCAGGGCTGGGGCCCAGGAATCTGCACTCTAAACACTACTTTCTGAGGGTTTTATAATTTTTTCATCCTTTTGCAATTTAAAATTTTTATTGTTTTGCTTTTCCAACATATATATAGACATACCTCAGAGATATGTAAGGTTTGGTTCCAGACCACTGCAATAAAGCAGTGCTACTTTGTGAGTGGTAGGATAAAAAGGGGTTTTATTTTTAAATTCTAAATGTCATGTGCTGACTTGAATAGCAGTTAAATAAATCCTGGCCCATCGGGGGGACCCAGGCCTGCCGGACCCATCTGCACCACAGGGTCTGTCCCATCGCCACGGTCACAGCCAAATGCTCCCTGTCCTCTGATTACATCTGCCCATCGGGGCTGGCACTGCCCCACCAGAACTGTGAACTCCCCCACGTGGCAGGCTGTGGTGGCAGACGTGGTCGGGCAGGTACAGACCGGGTCATGCTTCCCTCCTGTCCCTGTGGGCCCTAGAGTTGCTGCGTCAGCCACGAGCCCTGTGGACACCTTCCTGGGGCCTCCCAGGGGGTGACCTTCACTCCCTGTCACGTCCTCGAAAGACCTGTCCAACGATTAACGTTGGGCCTGCGCAGTTTTACTTTTCTCCAATCCTGCCCTGGCACAAAAGATTAAATCGATTTTTATTTTCTAATTTCAAATAAGTATTAATTCCTAACACCAGGTTAAGTCAGTATGAATGTCTGGTTGTGGATTCTATTCCACAGGCCAGGACTTTTCAGGGTCTGCTTGCACCGCAGGCGGCACAGCGGGCGTCAGAGGGATGGATCCCAGGGCCCAAAGGGCATATGGGAAAGGCCCCCCTTTCCAGCCCCCCCCCCCAGTCGAGTCTACTTCGGGCACAGACCTCCCCCCGTGAGTCCTGGCTGGTTCTTCATGCTCCGTACCCCTCAGCTTTGGGAATACCCACCCGTGACGGGGATCCACCACAATGGCCCTCGGCTTGGAGCCTTTCTCCTTGAAGAGGGTCTTCCTCTTCACGCCCTTGGTGTTGGCCACAGAGACGGTGCCCAGCATGGAGTCCGTCCAGTAGAGGTTGCCGTGGATCCAGTCCACGGCCAGCCCGTCGGGGGCCTGCAGGCCCTCGTCGATGATGGTGTCATAGGAGGAGTTGGACTCTCTGTGGATCTGCGTGCTGAGGAGGGAGGAGGGAGGAGGAGGAGGAGTCAGTGCCCGAGGCCATGGTTTCATGCAGGGTCGGGTGGGCGTGGGCCGAGGCTCACCTGTAGATCTTCCTTTGGGACAAGTCGGACCAGTAGACCCTGTTGGCTTGCACTTCCACGTCCAGGGCGACCACGTTCTTCAGGTTGGGGATGAGGCTGGTGTATTCGCTGCGGTCCAGCGTCATCTTCCTCACCTCGTGGCGGTTGGTGAAGAAGAGGTAGGCGATGGTGTCTGTGGAGGCACGGAGGGCGCTCAGGGGAGCGGGAGGGACCCCGGACCTGTTTCCGGGGCCTGGCTGAACCAGAGGAGACGCCCAGGACATGGGGTGGACGCGCCTCCCTGGTGTATTAACCTCGCGGTTCTGCTGCCCTAACTCTGGGGCCTTGCAGATGCCGGAGGGACGGCCCCTCCAGGCCTCGCGGTTCCTAAGCATAGTCACCCACTCGCCTCAAATGCAAACTAACCGGCCCACACCCACCACCCCCTTCACCTCCTCACACTCCCGGCCACTGTGCCCTGGCCATGGAACCAACAACCAGGGACAGTCCCTACACCCAGAGCCCACTGAAATTCTTCCAGCTAGCCAACCCTAAGCCCGGCTACCCTGCCTCACCTGTCCTTCCCGAGGAAACCATGACAAAGGCTCCTGCCCCATTTCCCCGCTCCCTTTACTTCCTGGTGCCTTCCCGTGGGGCCCTGCCTGGTGCAATGTGTCTCCTCCTCTGGGATCTGTGAGGAACAAACTAGCTTTTCAAGGGCAGCCACCTCCCGATCTGTTGGCCTCACCACAGGTGCATAATAATAAAAGCTACATTTTAAAACACCGGGGCCCCTGCATTCTACATTTTAGAACAGGAGGATGAAGAAATGATAAGTTAATTTGTACAGAGTGATTCCTTAGAGCAGGGAATTCTTCTTAGTGCTTTTCTTAAGTTTTCCCTCACTGATTCTCACACTCCTATAAGACAGGTGCTGTTGTCAACCCTTTTTACAGATAAAGGGGTTGAGGCCCAGAGAGGGAAAGGGTCCTGCCCAGGTCACACAGCTAGTGAGCGACAGAGGCAGGATTTGAACCCGGGTCTCTCTGACTCTGGGGGCTGTGCTGTAACCATGACGCTGATGTGCTCCAACAAACTGACCGCTTCTACAGCTGACCTCACCCAGAATATCCCTGCCCCTGGGGTGGCATCTGTACAGATACTGACCCTACACATTGGAAGGAAAGTAAAATCTCAAATCCTGGAGGATTTCAGGAATTCACCCCCCAATTTTCTCCAGAACCCGGACATGCATGGGGATGTGGCACAGGGAGGACAGGAGGCCGACAACAGTGGAGAAGGGATGAAAGCCTAAGAGCTTCTCGGGGAAACAGAACAAACTCTAAAATATTTCTGCAAAACGGACCCTCGCTGGAACCACACTGCACGAGCAGAACGTGAGGCAAAACAAAGACTGTCTGGGCGACCTTCTGGGCGATAAATCTGCCGGAACAATTACGCCTCCAAAAACATGGGCTCGTGTGCAGGTGATTCTAATAATTAGGGCACACTTGCAGTTCTAACCTGAAGTTCAGGGAGGAAAAAAACAACTATTTCTACTATTCTGTTTCATCACGAACTATTAGATTTTGGTCTCTTTTTTTTTTTTAAATATATTTTATTGATTTTTTACAGAGAGGAAGGGAGAGAGATAGAGAGTTAGAAACATCGATGAGAGAGAAACATCGATCAGCTGCCTCCTGCACATCTCCTTCTGGGGATGTGCCCACAACCCAGGTACATGCCCTTGACCAGAATCGAACCTGGGACCTTTCAGTCCGCAAGCCAATGCTCTATCCACTGAGCCAAACCGGTTTCGGCAAATTTTGGTCTCTTTTAAATGTATTTTTTTTGTGTGGGTTTTCTTGTGCAGGTACCTTTAGCTCATAAGAGCTGGAGGAGGTGCAGGCTGTTTGGGGCCATGGCTTTCTACCTCTTGCCCCCTGAAGTCTCTGGTGGGGCCTGTGGGCTGAAAACCACCCCCCAGGGGTTGAGCTGTGTCTGCTGAGAAGCCGGACACGTGAGGGCAGCGTTCCAGCAAGCCCGAGTCCTAACCGCATGTGCTCCGTTACCTGCCAGAGGTCCCGGGAGCAAACACCCTGTCCACAGAAGTTCAGATGACGCAACGTTCAGATGACGCAACTCCCCACCCGTTTGCCTTCGGAGCGGCCAGGCCAGGCCCCTCGGGCGCCTGGGGACACTCACCCACAGCCTTGCAGGCCTTGGTGAAGGGGTCCAGCCGGAAGCCCTCTTCACACTTGCACTGGTAGCTGCCCACGGAGTTCACACAGAGCTGGCTGCAGGCGTCGGGGTCCTCACACTCGTCGATATCTATGAGTTGGGACAGAGGAAGAGGTTTGGGCATCTTCCCCGCAGGTAGAGGGATGGGCCCCTACACGAAGCTGTGCCCCATAATGGTAAATGGGGGACAGCCACCTCCTCTGGGGAAGATCTCCAGGGCTGGCGTCTCAGTAACGATGAGGTTCAGAAATAAAATCTTTAAAAAGGCAAAGAATCATCTCTAATGCCCCAGCCAGTGTGCTCAGTGGTTAGACCATCGGCCCTCACACCGAAGGGTAGTGGGTTCGAGTCCTGATCAAAGGCACGTGCCTGAGGATAGAACCCGCAACCTTGGCATAAGGGCATGATGCTCTAACAAACAAAGCTACCCAGCCAGGCCTCGTTTTTAAAATGACGAATCCCAAAGCAAGAACCAAGTGTGCCCCACGGGCTAAGCCTATGCTAGACTCCCCATGCCTATGGCATCTTGTTAAATCCTCCTAACAGCCCTGTGAGTGGGGACTGCCCACAAAACAGATGGGAAACCAAGGCACAGAGGGCTTGGCCACCGTATCAGAGGGAAGGGCTGGGGAGGCCCGGAGCCCACCCCACTTGGGAATCACCTTCGCATCTTCGATGGTCCGCCAGCCGGAAGCCCTCAGGACACGAGCACTCGTAGCCAATCTTGAGGTCTTTGCAGAGGTGGGAGCAGCCACCCTTGTTAGTCAGGCACTCGTTGGTCACTGCGCCGGGCGGGGAACAGACGGTCACGCGCAGGCCTCCAGCCCCCTTCCCAGCCACCCTCTCTATTTCACTATCTTTATCACAATCGCCACAATGAATGTGAGGCCAGTGAAGTGCCACGACCCCTAAGAGGACGTAAAATACCATTGTCACGTGCAATGTCACAGACGGGCCTGGAGGACACTGTGCTGACATAAGCCACTCACAAAAGGACAAATCCTGTATGATCCCACCTATATGAGGTTCTTAGAGGAGTCAGATTCACAGAGACAAAGAGAAGAACGGTGGGTGCCATGGGGGGCGGGGCGGTTAGAGTTTGGGAGCAGAGCTTCAGTTTGGGAAGATGAGAAAGTCCGGGAGATAAACAGTGGTGATGGCTGTACAACAATGTGAATCTGCTTAATGATACTGATTTGTACACTTAAAAATGGCTATGATAACCTGGCTGGTGTGGCTCAGTGGTTGAGCATCAACCCATGAACTAGGAGGTCACAGAACTAGGAGGTCATCATCTGAACAATTATTCATGCCAGGGTTGTGGGCTCAATCCCCAGTAGGGGCATGCAGGAGACAGGCGATCAATGATTCTCATCATTGATATTTCTATCTTCCTCTCCCTTCCTCTCTCTAAAATCAATAAAAACATATTAAAAATGGTTATGATAAATCTTATTGCTTTCTTCAACCACAATTTAAAAAAAATTCTTATTGATAAAAACTGTAAACCACATACTACAGTTACATACAGAAGTGGACAAAGTAGGTTTACAGTTGTTCGTATAGAAAATGATACAATAATGAATAAATAATACAAGAATTGGTGAACTCACAACTGTAAAGCTACTTTTGCCAACCCCTATATATTAACTCATTTAATCCTCCCAACAACCCTAAAGATAGCTGGGGAAACGGAGGCATGTCCAAGTTAAATGACTTGCCCAAGATCACACTGCTGGGCTCGAACCTAGGGTGTTTGGCTCCAGAATCCATGCGCTAGCTCTTTACAACAAAGCCTGCATCCCACCTGTTCTTAAACAGGCCAACAATTAAGAACAATTCCAAATTTTTAAATAGTTAAAAAGAAAAATAAGAATTGGTGTGGTCTCCCTCCCAGGAGCACACCCATGCCTTTCCCTCCCTCCCTCTTCCCCAACAGGTGGCATCTCCTAACCTCTAAGGGTCCGCACGAGACTTGCTCCCAGGGGAGCAATGCGCAGCAGGGTGACCCCCTGAGCCTGTCTCCAAGGCCCCTTTGCTTTGATTCCCAGGGAGCTCAGTAGCCCTGCCTCGGCTCACGTCTTTCCTATAACATTTCTAGAGCCAAAGCAGCCCCACTATGCTCCTCTTGTGCCTCCTCCTACTCTGAACCCTTCCTTGTTTCCCTGTCCCCAGTGCAGAGATCCAACTGCCTCTCGGCCTTTAGGCTAAGATCAAGTGAAGTTATGAGGTTCACCTGCAATGTTAATAAATGTGCTCTCAAAAATTAATCAAAATAAAAATATTTCACACCACATAAAAGGTCTATGAAATTCAAATTTCAGTGTCCATAATAAAGTTTTCTTGGAACTTAGCCACACACATTCATGTGTGTACAAATGCATTCATGTGGTTGCTTTTCTGCTAAAATGGCTTAGTTGACTGGTTGCAAAAGAGACTATAGGACTGGAAACATCCAAACATTTACACAGCTATGGGTCACAGAACATTCCTGAAACTTTACAAGTATCCCACCGGCCAATCCCCAGCAGTCCAAGGATGTGTGAGCAACTACGGTCCCATCCTACAGTTGTGAAAACTGAGACTTGGAGCAAAGCCACTTTCCCCAAGACCCCCACATCTGTCTGGCCCCAGAGCCAAAGCACTTGGGGGCATGGGTGGGTTGAGCCCTGCAGCCCACAGCGCCCGTGTCTGGGTCCTGCTTCCAGCTCCCCACGAGCTCCGAGAGCTGCCTGCCCCCCAAGGCTCACCACACTCCTTGAGGGGCTCATCTGACCAGTCCCGGCAGTCCCGGACCGAGTTGCACACTTTGTCCACGGTGATGCATTCGCCGCTGTGGCACTTGAACTTGTTGGGGCCCTCGCACAGAGTCACTATGAGAGCCAAAGAAGAGGGTCAGTGCTCTGAGCTGCAGGACCCTATTTAATATTTTTTAATCCTATATAATAAAAGCCTAATACTGTATGCAAAACAACCCAATGGCGGAACAACCAGTTGGCAGGGGGCGGGGCCAGTGAGCGGGCAGTGCCAGGCCAGCCAAGGCGGGTGCCAGCGGGCAGAGGGAGGGGATGGTGATCAGGGGGTGGTGGTGACCGGTGGCGGAGGGGTGATGGGGGGCGGGCCAACTGCTCACCAGGTTGGCGCTGTCCCCTTATCTGTCCGCTGGTTGCCTCCTCCAGAGGGAGGCCAGACTGCAGCTTAGGCCCCCCAGAGGGCTCCCAGACTGCGAGAGGGCGCAGGCCGGGCTGAGGGACCCCCCAAGTGCACAAATTTTTGTGCACCGGGCCTCTAGTAATATAATAATTTGTACAAGATTGTATGCAAATGTATTCAGTAATAAAACCTACTAACTATTGAACACTCGTAAACCCAATTTAAGAATTAGAATGTCGCCCTAGCCGGTTTGGCTCAGTGGATAGAGCATTGGCCTGCAAACTGAAAGGTCCCAGGTTCGATTCTGGTCAAGGGCACATGCCCGGGTTGTGGGCTCAATCCCCAGTCGGGGACTTGCAGGAGGCAGCCAATCCATGATTCTTTCTCATCATGGATGTTTCTATCTCTCTCTCCCTCTTCATTCCTCTCTGAAATCAATTAAAAAAATATTTTTTTAAAATAAAAAACAAACAAAAAAACAGAATTAGAATGTCACCAAGAGCAGGATTGGGCAAACTAGGAAAGATGGGCAAATCTACCCACTGCTTGTTTATTTAAATACTAGTGGCCTGGTGCATGAATTGTGCACATTGAAAGGAAATTAATTAGAAGAAATATTTTAAGATCGCTATTTGCCCTTTCTCTATAATAGAAGTGTTGGAGATGAAAGAAAATTAGTAAAATGTATATGAAAATAATATATAAATTGATTAATAAATAAACAATAACAATATGATATAACAACAAAGACATGATATAAAAACAACAAAAACATGACATAAAAACAACATTGATAAAAATAATGACTGCCCTAACCAGTTTGGCTCAGTGGATAGAGCATTGGCCTGCAGACTGAAAGGGCCCAGGTTCGATTCCAGTCAAGGGCATGTACCTTGGTTGTGGGCACATCCCCAGTAGGGGTTGTGCAGGAGGCAGCTGATTGATGTCTCTCTCTCATCGATGTTTCTAACTCTCTATCCCTCTCCCTTCCTCTCCATAAAAAATCAATAAAATATATTTAAAAAAATAAAATAATGACTGATAAATTGATTAAACTTATTCTAATATCTCCCTGTACACCACATTAAGAGTAAAAACATTTTCAGAGTGCTTGACTAGTTTCCCTTGTGATGAAGTATTTACAACTTTAATTTTAATGTCACATGCTCATCGAACTCGAGAGAAAGCAACATATAACTGACCATGTGCGAAAATGGGTGCAGGTAGGAATATGCCTACTCTGTCTAGAGTTTGTCCTTGTTATTTATTAACAATCATCACAAATGCTGGCATCAAGGGAAACTGTCTTCAAATTAATTTAAATGGGAGGCCAGTGTCAGATGGGGACAAATTCAATTCTTGGAATCAGAACAACCTCTCCTGCCACAGATCCTGTTAATACTTCAGCTTCGATTATATTAGGTTGCAATCTTTTGATAATAAATCCAGTACCATTAAAAACAACCAAAAATTTTTGGTTAAGTTAGCAATAATGTAAAAAACATTCTTTATCAATAAAAACACATTTGTGTATTCTGGTACCAGCCAGAGCTTTATATGTATCGCACATGTGCGAGTCAACGTTTATTTTTAAATTGCCAGTGCGCGTCATATGTACTGGCCAGTTGGACGGTTGGACAGACGTACAATCAGTCACTTAGCCTTTTATATATATAGATTAAAAGTTTTAGCCCAGCCCTAGCTGTTTGGTTCAGTGGATAGAGTGTCAGCCTGTGGACTGAAGGGTCCCAGGTTCGATTCCAGTCAAGGGCACATGCCTGGGTTGTAGGCTCGATCCAATCCCCAGTGTGGGGCATGTAGGAGGCTGATGTTTTTATCTCTCCCTCTCCCTTCCTTTCTGAAATCAATAAATATATATATATATATATATCAATAAATATATATATATATATATATATATTTTTTTAAAAAGTTTTAGCCCAGTTGGTATGGCTTGAAGGACTTCCTTTTAAAAAAATGGTTAAAATGGTAAATTTTATGTTGTAGGTACTTTACCATAATTTTTAAAAAGGTAGTGCATTATCAAACTTTAACTCTTTATTCACTAAATTGTTTCAGTCTCTAAATAACATAATACTTTTTTTTTTTAATCCTCCGGCCTGGAAACGAATCTGCAACCCAGGCACATGCCCTTGACCGGGAACCGAACCCGAGACCCTTTGGTGTGTGGGCTACACTCTAACCGCTGAACACATTGGCCAGGGCCATAAGAAAAATGTAAAAAGCAGTATCCTGGCCCTGGCTCAGTAGTTCAGTTGATATCATTAGAGCATCATTCCAAAATGCACGGTTTCAGGTTCCATCCCTTGTCAGGGCACATACAAGAAACAACTAATGAATGTGTATAAGTGGAACAACAAATCGATGTGTCTCTCTCTCCCCCTCCCTTTCTCTTTCTCTTCCTTTCTAAAAATCAATCAATAAAAAAATAAATAAAAATTATTTTTTAAAAAAGCAATAGCCTTACGTTATGTGTATTTACCACAATTAAAATTTTAAGTTAATTCTATTGCCGATGAACATTTGGGCGGCTTCCAGGGTTTTGCTATCAGCACACTGCTTCTCTGGACCTTCCAGAACCGGGCTCCTCGTTCATGGGACAAGTTTCTCCCGGGGGCATTCCCAGGAGTGGAACTGCTGTGTTGTAAATTCGGGAAAGTCTTTTGCATGGAATTGTATTTCGCATATAACTCTGAGCTCAAAGATATGGGCTTTGTACACTCTGACCTCATTAAGTCTCACAGTCCTGAAGTAGGTGCTTTCACTATGCACATGTTTTCAGAGAGGGGTCAAGTAACCTGCCGGACGACGCACAGCTGGTGTGGGGCTGACCTGGGAGCCGCTGCCCTGCTCTGGGATCCACCCTGCTTGTACCCCCGTATTCTGCCACGGTTTAGGGCTGTCAAGGCACGGAGCTCACCATTGATGCAGCCAAGCTCATCACTCATGTCCTTACAGTCATGCTCCCTGTCACACTGCTGGCTGCCATGGATGCAGGTCCCATCGAAGCACTGGAACTCGTCAGGCCGGCATGTGGCCACAGCTAAAAAGACAGAGCACGTGTTGATTTTTCTCAAGGAGAGGCGGAGACGCAAGAATCTCCATCACTGAAGAAGCCATTTTCCGACAGCCTTACAGGAGTCGGCTGCCCTGGGCCTTGGGGACAGCATGTAAATGGAGGAGCCTTAGACATGGAAAAACACACCCAACCTCCTCCACCTGTAGGAGACAGTGGCTATCCGTTTTATCTGCTTCTCTGAGCAGGAAAAAAAGAGAAGAGGTGGCCTTCCTTCCCAACATGGAGGAAAACTCCCCAGGTGCATCTATTTTTGTATTCTCAAATGTAACCAATGTAGATTTTAGACGATTTCCTTTCTTTTATGGCAACAGTACTTTTTTCCTTCATGAAGAAGAATCATGAAAAATTATTACTAAAGCAACAAAGCCAAGTTTGGAAAATTGGAAAGGGGAGGAAAGCACCCGGAACCCAAATATCCCACCACAGCCATCAAGGTTTTCCTAGACTTCTTTCCAGTTTTGCTTCACATGCTTTTTTAGATCACATAATTCATTAAAAAACTATACACCGGCCAGTGTGGCAGAGTGGTTGAGCATTGACCTGTGAACCAGGAGGTCACAGTTTGATTCCCGTCAGGGCGTATGACTGAGTTGAGGGCTCAATCCCCAGTAGGGGGCCTGCAGGAGGCAACCAATCAGTGATTCCATCTCATCATTGACATTTCTATCTCTCTCTTCCTCTCCCTGAAATCAATGAAAACAGGGTTGTTGTTTTTTTTAAAAAAAAATAAAAAGAAAGAAAATAGCCCTGGCTGGTTTGGCTCAGTGGATAGAGCATCGGCCTGCAGACTGGGGGGGTCCCAGATTCGATTCCGGTCAAGGGCACATGCCCGGGTTGCGGGCTTGATCCCCAGTGGGGGGCGTGCGGGAGGCAGACAATCAATGATTCCCTCTCCTCATTGATGTTTCTATCTCTCTCCCTCTCCCTTTCTCTCTGAAATCAATAAAAATATATTTAAAAAAAAAGAAAAGAAAACTATAAATCCAAGGAGCCATTCTCAGCAGAAAAACAATGATATGGTCCCAACCTAGACAGACAGCCCAAGTAAATCATGATAAATCAGATCAATACCACGGAGTATAATGCAGTTGTTCAAATGACTGAGACTACAAATATATGAAATATTGATGACATGACACCATGTGATAAAAGATATCACGATTAAAACTCAGAGGATGTACATGGTGACTGGAATAGGGTACTGCCAACCATGGTCCCGACCTTGACCTCATACAGGACTTACTTTGTGCTAAGTCGTTAAGTTATATGTTCTTTTATGTACTTTTCTTTGGGCTGTATTTCACAATAAAAATGTCTATAATTTAAAATTTTGATTTCAGGATGTGAGTGAGAAGGGATAATAAATCTGTGAGCAGAATGAACCCCTTCCACTTTTCAAACAATATGTTCCAATTTTTGGCACTCTGTATGTTCAAGTGGACACTTGCTCTGCTGTGACATGTAAAAAGGGGAATGATCCTATTTTGAACCCATATGTATTTCTTCGCATCAAAGAAAAAACAACCACCAAAGGTAACTTTAGCGAAGCCTAAACTCTGATGACAGTTAAAATGATAGGAGGATGGGATTTTTCGTTTTCTCAAGTATGTGTTTTCTCAGAAAATTATTCGGCCTTTCTGTGCCTCGGTTTCCCCATCTGTAAAGAGTGGGGGGCGGGGGGGGAGCCTGTTCACAAGTGATGGGGATTAAATGAGCTTGTGTTAAGTTTTAGAACAGACCACGTACAACATCATGCATTGTTTTTAAAACGTGGCTTTCAAAGGTCTAATTACATCTTATTGGCGAGTACAACTCGATGGAAACTGACACAGAAAAGGGGAAAGACCTTCTGGATTCACAGTGACTCCACATCGCCAGCCTGGAAATAGCCGCCTGTGGGTTCCAGGAGCGCGGACACAGGGCCGGAGCCCTGATCTGCACTGTCTCCAGCAAGGAATTCTGTTCTCCGGTCGCACCATCGCGTTGGCTAGAGGCTACTGTACTGGGCGGTACAGACACAGGACGCCTCCACCATCACAGAACGTGCTACTGGGCGGCGGCGGACTCTAATCCCGGCCGCCAAGGCCACGCCATTGCCCCATCCTACCCGGGAGGACGCCACAGCGCAGTGAGGGGGCCTCCTTGGCTGAGGGTCACTCAGCTCCACGCCCCCAGCCAGGCCTGGAGCCCAGGATTCTTTCTGAACCAAAACAATCCTGCAGCTGTGGCTTCCTCCCCTCTCAAAAAAAAAAAAAAAAAAGATTAATTAAATAGGCAAGTGATTTGAGATCGTTTAACCCCTTGAAAGCACGGGGACCGGGACGGGGGCGGGGAGGGCGCCCTCACCGCAGTTCTCCTCGTCGGACTTGTCCTTGCAGTCCGCGCTGCCGTCGCAGCGCCAGCTCCGGTGGATGCACTCGCCGCTGCGGCGGCAGTGGAACTCGCTGGCCACGCAGGGCTCGTCCCCGTGCCTGGCTGACGTGTTGCGGCCCCCGCAGTTCTGCGGCCACTCGTCGGAGCCGTCATCGCAGTCGGGGTCGCCGTCGCAGGCCCACAGCTCGGGGATGCAGGAGGAGATGTTGCACTGGAAGCTGGCGGGGCCGCAGGTGGGCGGGGGGCAGGATTCCTCGTCCGAGCCGTCCAGGCAGTCTCGGTCCAAGTCGCAGACGAACTCTGGGGCGATGCAGTTGCCGTCACGGCAGCGGAACTCGTCTGGGGAACAGGTCTTGGGGGCTGTGGGGACGGAAGGGAGATGAAGACCCGGTCACCGGGAGCCCCTGCCTCCCTACACAAGCCCATTCCACAGATGGGGACACTGAGAGAAGAGGCCAGACCCCAGTTACTGGTCCCTGGAGAGGCGGGAGATAGCAGTCAGGGGTTCTAGGCTGGGAACCTCGGACTCTCCAGTTGGCAACCGCTGCTCCAAAGGTTTCCTTAAACCAGCGGTCGCCAACCTTTCGAACCTCACAGACCACCAGCGGACCCGGTGTCCCCCCCTCCCCGCCCCCTCTCTCCACTCCCACCCCCCATTCTGGGCCCCCTCCTGCCTCAGGGATTTATTAGCAGGACTGGTGAGTACAGCTCTCAGGTTGGGCTGGCTGGCAAGAATGGCTGATTAAGGGTTTGCTATTATTAAATGAGACACACCCCCCTCCAAAAACAAACAAAAAAAAGCGGTAATTATGTGAGTTGATAGAGATGTTAAGTAGTCCTACTGTGGTAATCATTTCACAATATAATCATCTCTCGGGATCCTACCGGGATTGGTTCCAGAAACCCTACAGATACCAAAATCCAAGATGCTCAATCAAGTCCCTTATATATCTGTATTTGCATAAAACCTATATTTGCATATAAACTGTATTTGTATATAGGCCCCAGCAGGTTATGCCTACACATCACTTCATTTGCATAAATTCGGGATAGTTCTCGGCTTATGGCAAATTCAAGTTTTGCTTTCGGGAACATTCTGGAATTTCTCTCCTCCCCCTGCAATATTTTCAATCTGCAGTTGGTTGCGTCAATGGAGGTGAAACCTGTTAGTACAGAGGCCAGATATACATGTGTATCAAATCATCATGTCTCAAGTCATACTCTATTTAAACTTTCATGGATATTTTTTGTTGTTTTCATTGGTGAATATTTTTTATTAAACTCTCTCTATATAAGAGAAGCCTGGGAGCCCTGCCGGCATGGCTCAGTGGTTGAATGTCGATTTCTAAACCAGGAGGTCAAGGTTCGATTCCCGGGCAGGACACATGCCGGGGTTGAAGGCTCAATCCCTAGTAGGGGGGCGTGCGGGAGGCAGCCAATCAATGATTCTCTCTCATCATTGATGTTTCTCTCTCCCTCTCCCTTTCCCTTCCTCTCTGAAGTAAATTATATATATAATATATATATTTTAAAAAGCGAGAAGCCTGGGAAAGCTGTTTGTGGGCCCCATCTGGTGTTGCTGCACTAACACGGGCTGACCTGGCAGCTAAAGCTTCTCCAGCAGAGACTCATGGAAGCACACAGGTTTTCAGTTCCCTTCTGCTCTAGGCTGCCTCCCCAGCAGCCCCCCGGGTTCCCAGTTCTTGGTCCAGAATGAGTTTGTTCCTGCCACCCTCTCAGATAGAAATCGGGGTCTCTGGGCCAATGCACTCTGAAATGTGGCCCCTGAGTGTCCTTGAGTCAGGTAATCCACCTCCACTGAGTCTGAGGATCCGTTAGCTGTGAAGTCACCTCAGCCTCAGCTCACATCCGGGTCTTTTCCTGCCACTTTATTAGGAAGATGCTACAGAATCTGTGTACAAGACACATCGGTGTGGGGGGAGGGGCCCTCCAGGATGTCTCCAAGGTGGCCCATGGCTGGGACAAGCTGTTCTCCTCCACTTGGTGCCTAGAGAAGGTCCCAGTGCAGGGTAGGAACTGGCCAAGCAAACCCTCCCAGCCTACTATTCAGTTCCTTCTTTTTAAAAAAATTTTCAGTTCCTTCTTGCTTGTCTTTGATGGCCACCTGGAATCACTCTTCCAGCAGAAAGAGCTTGCTGATGAGGCCTGGGTGGCACTGGCGAAGGCCTGCTGGGGCCTGTAGTCTGGTGTGGTCTGCACACGGAGGTGATTTTGGGCTCCAAGGGGTAGGAGACTTTGTAGCCAGCAAACAGCACCTGTGGGTCCTTCAACAGCTGTGATTTAATAATGTTTCCTAGTGTATGATCTTCGTTGATGGTGAAAAAACAGGCATTGAATACCTTGGTGTCCTTGTTAATGATGATCTTCTCGCTTCCGAACAGCAAGAATGCTTGAAGGCTGGAGGGGCGTTCATCATCCTAGTGCCACAGCCACCTCCAGAGCTTACACTTACACAATGTTATATGTCAATTATATCTCAATGAAACCGGAAGGAAAATTAAAAGAGTGTCTGGGAAATAACACTTATCCATTTTATTTTAAAATGTTCCCCAAGAAGTCATTTCATTAGATGACTACTAATGATTCCAGTCAAGGGCATGTACCTGGGTTGCGGGCACATCCCCAGTAGGAGGTGTGCAGGAGGCAGCTGATCGATGTTTCTCTCTCATCGATGTTTCTAACTCTCTATCTCTCTCCCTTCCTCTCTGTAAAAAATTAATAAAATATATTAAAAAAAAAAGTCTGGGAAATAACACTTATCCATTTTATTTTAAAATGTTCCCCAAGGCGTCATTTCATTAGATGACTACTAATGAAGGTTATTTATTTGTATATACAGTTGTGTATTTCTAAGGTAAATGCAAGTAAACCATTTTGTTGTTGATTTTTTTTTTAATCTCTTAAGGCCCTGGCTGGTGTGGCTCAGTTGGTTGGGCATTGTCCTATGCATTGAAAGATTGCGGGTTCGATTCCAGTCAGCGCACATCCCCGGGTTTCAGGATCGATCCCCGGTTGGGGACGTGCAGAAGGCAGCCAAGCCATGCTTCTCTTTCACATTGATGTTTGTTTCTCTCTCTCTCTCTCTCTCTAAAAATCAATTTTAAAGTCTTTTTAAAAATCTCTTAAGGACTTTTATATTTTGTGAATTTGAAGAGTTAATGTGATCTTAGTTATTTTTTCCGTTGTTTTGGTTTTGAAAAAAAATCTACACACGTGAAAAAACAATAATAATCCTATATAATTAGGAGTTAAGATGCAAATGGTCATCACACCCTCATGTCAGCACATCATCACTCCATAATGGCTCAGACACTCAACACTGGGGAGATTGGGATGGGGGCCAACCAGGCACAAATGAGCTCGCAAGAGAGGAATGCAAACCAGCCAGGCACAAAGGAACTTGCGAGAGAGGAATGGGGACCAGCCAGGCTGCAGCCCGGGAGAGGGACAAGCCACCTGTCCCGCGGTCCCCTGCAGCTGTGGCTGACTCAGGCAAAGTCGGCCCGGGTCCTGGGTGTCTGTGGCTGGCCAGAGGGAGGGAAGCCTGGGTCCCAGGTGCAGGGCGAGAAGAGCCAGGGCGATCAGGCCAGCAGGGGAGCAATGAGGGGCAATCAGGCCGGTAGGGGAACAGTTAGGGGTGATCAAGCAGGCAGGCAGGCAGGCAGGTGAGTGGTTAAGAGCCAGCGGTCCCAGATTTCGAGAAGCAGTTGGACATCTCCCAAGGGGTCCTGGATTGGAGAGGGTGCAGGCCGGGCTGAGGGGCGCCCCCTCTCCCCCCGCCATGCACAAATTTCGTGCACTGGCCTCTAGTAATACATAAAATCAAAGAGCCAAGACAGACACCCAGCTCCAAAGTGAATTCCCCTCCAGGATTCTTGGTCTTGTTTCTTTGAAGAAGTCTGTTTCTTTGGTGAAGCTTTCCTCCTCTTAGTGGTTAGTTGGATGAGTGATCTTGGTGGGTGAATACCTACTGTGTGCTTAGCCTCCTGGGGTGGCTGATGGTGGTCATAGTGGCTCACTAACGGAAGCATATGCCATGTGGCAAGGACAACCTCACCGAATGTGTTGATAACCCTAAGAGGGGCGCCATCACTACTGGCTGCAATACCTTCTAGCCGAGGTGGGCTTCAATGGGAGGGAGGGGGCTTGGTATGCGCTCCCAGGAGGTGGAGCCGAGTGAAGAGCAGCTGATCCACACCAGGCAGGGCTGCTTGGGGAACCAGCTCTGATAGCAGCCAGAAGCCCATCGGGCCACATGGACATTCTGGCATGTGGGCTGCCAGTGAGGGGCCACACTTACAACAGCCTTGCTCGTCCGAGCCATTCTCGCAGTCTATCTGGCCGTCACATCTCCAGAACTCAGGAATACAACGGTTGATGCGACCCCCACAGCTGAAGTCCTCCACCTTACAGGTGACAGACTCTGTGGGAGAAACAGGATTGAGTCTTAACTCAAAGGGAAGGCCAGTCTGCTTCCCCAGTCCTAGCTGTGCAAGGAAGAACCCAGTTTTCGCGTGTATTTTATTTTAAATTAAATCTTTATTGTTGAAAATATTACATAGGTCCCCATTTTCCCCCCATTGACTCCTTCTAGCCTGCCCCCACCTCCACCCCCACCCCCACCCCCACCCCAGGCCTTCACCGCCCTATTGTCTGTGTCCATGGGTTATGCATATATGCATACAAGTTCTTTGGTTAACCTTTTCCCACTCACCCACCCTCCCCCCTTCCCACTGAGATTCTGTGCTCTGTTCCATGCTTCTACGTCTCTGGATCTATTTTAGAACCCAGAGCCTTCCCTCTTAGACTCTATAGTCTGTTCCATGCTTCTATCTGGATCTATTTTAGAACCCATAGTTTTCAGAAAAAAGGTGCCAATCCCACCTTTCTGGGTCAAAATTTAATGGAGTTTGTTAAAAATCAGACGCTAGGTTTTGGAATGAGATAGAGGTGGTGGTTGCACAACATTGCAAATGCATTAATGCTAGTGAACTGGTCACTTTAAAATGGTTAATTTTGTTTATGTGAATTACCCCTCAAAACAATTTTTTTAAAGAGCTATTCAAGGGATGTTCTAGTGATATCTTTGCTCCCCACCTCCCAATTCATGGTTGAACATATCAGTCTAATGGCCGAAATCCACCTCATCTGTTCCCTGCTATCATCAAAAAGGGTTGGGGCCCCTGCTGGTGTGGCTCAGTGGTTGAGTGTTGATCTATGAACCAGGAGGTCATGATTCGATTCCCAGTCAGGGCATATGCCTGGGTTGCAGGCTCAATCCCCAGTGTGGGGCATGCAGGAGGCAGCCAATCAATGATTCTCTCTCATCATTGATGTTTCTATCTCTAGCTCCCTCTTCCTTTCTCTCTGAAATCAATTATATATATATTTTAAGTGTTGGGATGGGTGTAATACTCAAAGGGGACTCACTACATGTCTCCGGGGATTCATCAGACTGGTCCTGGCACTCGGCACTCCCATCACAAACCCACTTGTAGGCGATGCATTTCCCATCTTGGCACTGGAACTCGTTTCTCTCACAATTGCCTTCCACTAAGAGAGAAAAGGGGAAGAAAGATTCAATGCCAGGATCAGAAACTGACCACACAACCTATGTCTGTTTCCTGTCAACTAAAGAACAAACCAGAAATATAACCCAGTTATAACAGTCTGGTTCCCAGGAAATGAAACATGTATAAGTTAAATTTCATGAACCAAAAGTATAGCGGAGGATGCAAAAAAACATCCAAAAGTGAGACTTGTCAACAAAATGTAAGTCTTTGACATAATGGTTCGTTGAGTCCAAAGTACAAATTCATTGGGATCTGGGGACAAAATATTAGAACTTTCATGTACATTTGTAAAGAAAATTATTTAGCATATTATAAGCCTGTATCGGAAACAGTAATGACGAAAATTGATACAGCAAAATCATTAAAACTTGAGTTTTCTCCAGTAGGTAGAGTGGAAATAGAAAGAAAAATTATGATAAATTATTAGTGTGGAGGCCAGAGAGCAGAAACCCAGCAACAAAGGTAATCAAATATCTCAACATCAGAGCAAAAGTAATGGAACAGAAACAGTAGCCTTAGGTGTAATAAGAGAAAATTTTCCTAGAAAAACACTTGGGCCCTGGCCGGGCAGCTCAGTTGGTTAGAGCAGTGTCCCGATATGCCAAGGTCAGGGCACATACAAGAAGTAACCAATGAATGCATAAATAAGTGGAATAGGGAGTCAGTCTCTCTCTCTTTCAAAATCAATTTTTTTAAAAAGACTCAAATTTTTAGATAAAAATGAAGATGAAGTAAGTGTCTGGGAAATTGCCTAAAATACATGATTTTTGCACCTTGGAAAAGAGATCAAAATTATATTGATTGTGCCCTGGCCAGCATTGCTAAGTGGTTAGAGCATCGGCCTGTACCCCCAAGGGTCTCAGGTTCAATTTCCTCTCAAGGGCATGTACCTGGATTGCAGCTTTGATTCTGGCCCCAGTCAGGGTGCGTGTGGGAAGCAACCAATCAATGTTCCTCTCTCTCTCTCTCTCTCTGTCTCTGTCTCTCTCTCTCTCTCTCTCTCTCTCCCCCCACCCCTCTCCCTCCTTCCTTTCCACACTCTAAAAATCAATGGAAAAACAAAAAAATATATTATATTGACTGCATTTCCTTTTGAATACTATACTTTAAATTAGAATGCACTGCTAGGTATATGGTAAACTGGAATCAAAGCCAATTTTTTTTTGGTTGACAATTACCTGATAATAATAATCTTTTAAGCTCAAAGTATAAACTTTGATTTCCTATGTAAGCTAAAACAATGAGGCCAATAAAAATTCTGACCTGGCTTATGTTAGCATGCTTTATATTGAATAAATAAGGAAGTAAGAGAAAAACAATAAAAGCAGCTAGAATTATTTTCCTCATGAGTCAGATGTTCTGTAGGCAAATAGTATATAAACATGAGTTTTGATTGATGGCTATATTACTTAAACGTTCCACTATCCTTGTAAGAAGACTTTTCCTTTTACCAATTGATTTTGAGCATTAGCTATAATCAAAAAAATCGTTTCATGGTTTGTGCAAAATGTAGTCATTAGCTCATTTTGCGCGAAGGTAATTTATACTGGTACATGCATCAAAGTTGAAGCAGACTTCACATCTACAGAAAGTTATTCCATTCTTGGGAGAAACCTCAGACAAAAAGAAATGGAGAGAGTAAATACTTGAATGATGCTGCCTGCCCCTGAGAGCAGCCTTTCCTTCTTCATTCTGGGCGTTGAAGAGGAAGGATCAGGATCTGGGCCCTGGCCAGGCAGCTCAGTTGCTTAGGCATCATCCCATGTCACCAGCTGGATTCCCAGTCAGGGCACATGCCCAGTAGGGGGCGTGCAGAAGGCAGCCTATGATGTTTCTCTCTCCCTTTCCCTACCTTTCTAAAAAATCAATACTCCCCTTCCCCCCGCTTATTTTAAGGGACAAATAGCTGATAAACGTATTGCACATGTGACTTGCTGAACATTACTTGTGTCTGACTTATTTGTTCAAGGGTATGTACTCTGCATTTATGCGAAGTTCTAGTTCAGGCAAAACTAATCTAAATTAGAATTCAGATTAGCCGTTGCCTCTGGTGTGTGGGGGCAGTAATTAAATTAGAGAAAGGGGCAGAAGAAAACTCTTTGAAAAGCTAGACATAGTCTATATCCAAATGGGAGGTGATTACATAGAAACAGGTGTTTATAAAAACTCACTGGCCTGGCTGGCATGGCTCAGTGGTTGAGCATCGACCTATGATACAGGGAGGTCACAGTTCGATTCCCAGTTAGGGTATATACCCAGTTGCTGGCTCAAGCCCCAGAGTAGGGGGTGTGCAAGAGGCAGCTGATCAATGATTGATTCTTTCTCATCATTGATGTTTCTCTCTCTCTCTCCCTCTCCTTTCCTCTGAAATCAATAAAAATATATTTAAAACACACACACACACACACACACACACACACACACAAATACTTGATCCTGTACAGTGTGGCTCAATTGGTTGAGTGTCCTCCTGTGCACTGAAAGATTGAAGGTTTGATGTGTACAAGAGGCAATTGATCAATGTTTCTCTCACATCGATGTTTCTCTTTCTCTCCCTCTCCCTTCCTCTCTCTCTAAAAATTCAATTAGCCTGGCTGGTTTGGCTCAGTGATTGAGCATGGACTCAGAAACCAAGAGGTTGCCGGATTGATTCCCAGTCAGGGTTGCAGGCTTGATCTCCAGTAGGGACATGCAGGAGGCAGCCAATCAATGTTTCCATCTCTCTTTCCCTCTCCCTTCTTCTATCTCTAAGGTCAATAAAAGTATATTAAAAAATAATAATAAAAATTCAATTAAAAAAACCTCACTGAACTTTTGCTCACTTCTTATCTATCCATTTTATAGTATATGGTATCTAAATTAAAAAAAAAAAAACAACACTCTGGGTCTTCACAGTTCAATTCCAATGCTCTTACCAAGAATTAGGAAACCAGTCAGATGAGATTAGGAGAGATATGAGGAAGCCCCAGAGGAAGATAGAGGTGATAACGAGAGAGAAAAACAAGGACTGTTTCCAAGAACCAACAGAACTTGGTAAGTGTTAATTACAAGGCCCAGGTGACCAGGACAAGAGCAGAAGAGAGGGGTGAAGAGCGAAGGCAGTGAGTTGAGCTTTGGAATCTGCCATCAGTACTAACAGTTGTATTGCCCAACCACTGATCAGAACAGGGTGTCTCCTTTGGAGATGCCTCTACAATACACCCCAATGACAAACAGCTGAATCATAATCGTAATCATGCCGAAAGCAGGAAATGACACTTCTTGCTGCTGTGGCACACACGGTGGGCAAAAAGCAATGGGAATTTGAGGAATCTTTGAAAAAAACAATACAGGAAGTTCAGGCAAGGGGCACTGGTGATGAGGATCTTGGAGGAGGAGCTTCTGTCACCATCCCCCTCCTCCCATTGCTAGCCAAGCTTTGGTTATCATTGTAGACATAAGAACATCCAAACCTGTAGGGAATTTTTTAAAAATCCTCACCGGAGGATATGTTATTGTTTTTTAATTGATTTTAGAGTGAGAGGAAGGTGGGAGGGGTGGGGAGACAGAGGTGAGAGAGAAGCATCAGTGGGTTGCCTCCCATACTCGCCCTGAATGGGAATTGAACCTGAAACCTTTTGGTGCACAGGACTCTGCTCCAACTACTGAGTCACCAGCCAGGGAAACAAGACCTCAGATGCTGGGCAGAACTGACAGTGGTGCAGTTTCTTTTATGCATTCGAGAGTCAGGCCCAAACGGCAGTAAAATTACATGAAAGTGGGAGAAAGCAAGGTGAGGATTGGATTACAGGACAGTTAACAAGATTATGTGCTCTCTCTCTCTTGCCCTAGCTGGTTTTGCTCAGTGGATAGAGTGTCAGCCTGCGAACTGAAAAGTTCCAGGTTTAGTTCTGGTCAAGGGCACATGCCCAGGTTGTGGGCTCGATCCCCAGTGGAGGACTTGCAGGAGGCAGCTGATCAATGATTTTCTCTCATCGTGGATGTTTCTATCTCTCTCTCCCTCTTCCTTCCTCTCTGATATCAATATATATATATATAAAGATTATGTGCTCTCTTGAGGGTGGTTATGCTTTTTTCAAGTGTCTTAATCTAGATGAGTGATGGTGAACCTTTTGAGCTCGGCGTGTCAGCATTTTGAAAAACCCTAACTTAACTCTGGTGCTGTGTCACATATAGAAATTTTTTGATATTTGCAACCATAATAAAACAAAGATTTATATTTTTGATATTTATTTTATATATTTAAATGCCATTTAACAAAGAAAAATCAACCAAAAAAATGAGTTCGCGTGTCAGAGGTGTCATAGATTCACCATCACTGACTAGATGCACAGAAACAACGGACAGAGCTTGCTTAAGGCAAATACAAGCCTTTTCGAAGTTACATGCCTGAGGTATGACTTCCCACCATGACCTGCCAAGCTAGGAATCAGAACATCCTGTGAGATTACTTTCTGTAGAACCATTTTTTCGTCCACACCACTAATGCTCTCACCACCCGACCTGTGCACAAGGACCTATTTTACAAACTAAAGGAGCCACTGGAAATACCAGTAATATCTTAAGGCCCTTTAAAGAGGGATAAAAAGCCCTAACCGGTTTGGCTCAGTGGATTGAGCGTCGGCCTGCAGACTGAAGGGTCCCAGGTTCGATTCTGGTCAAGGGCATGTACCTTGGTTGCGGGCACATCCCCAGTAGGGAGTGTGCAGGAGGCAGCTGATCAATGTTTCTCTCTCATTGATGTTTCTAACTCTCTATCCCTCTCCCTTTCTCTCTGTAAAAAAATCAATAAAATATATTTTTAAAATTTTTAAATAAATAAAGAGGGATAAAGATAAGAAAAATAAATTCTGCCCCGCCTGCATGGCTCAGTGGTTGAGCATTGACCTATGAACCAGGAGGTCACAGTTCAATACCCGGTTGTGGGCTCAAGCCCCAGTAGGGGGCGTGCAGGAGGCAGCCGACCAATGATTCTCTCTC